TCTCTCTCTCTCTCTCTCTCTCTCTCTCTCTCTCTCTCTCTCGATATCTCTCATCCGCGCGTCGTCAATTTCCGTCGTTACAACGACCGAGTCGTTAACTTGCCAATGGAGTTTGACATCTCATAGTTGAGACTGCATCGCGAACGTTTCCGTGCCATTTATCAACGGCACCTGGTGTATTGAAAACTGTTTCGATGCAATGGGACGGGCGAGAAGGAAGGTGCCAAAAGTGTACGGAGTCATCGATTTTAGTTACAATACGTTTCAGCCGAGGAGAATTTTAATCGCGCAGCACAATGCACGTGTGATCGTTATTGCAAAATGAAAACTTCGGTGATATAATTTGGATAATAATTTGAATGATAATCAGATTTAATTTAATTTCTCAACTTAATTTTATTTCAAATTTACAATTATGTTTAATCACAAATATTTCCCGCTCTTCGTAAAAGCACCAAAAGAATATAAGACTCGACGGCAATCTTTAACATATTAAGCTACAAATATTATACACATTTAGGCTACCTGAAATTTATCGAGCGGGCACTTTTTATGATCGTTCTTTGCGAAGATCTCCCGCTTTCGCGAAAATGAAGTCAGCAAAAGAGGAAGCCGCGGGACAAAAGCTTCCTTAAAATGCGCTCCAGTGCGACGACAGTTCGCTATCCGCGTTCTCAGTCGCGCAGTTGCCATAAATCCCATCCTTTCCCTCCGCTATTCGTTACTCCCACGACAAAGACAGCACATTACGCAAAGGAATTTGTCCAATTGTCTCGATCAAAGTCACCTCATATTGCCGTCGGGTTCCGTCTGCATTCTGGACGCGATGGCGGAAATATTTCTTGCTCATCGCGAACGTTAAAGCTAAGTCTTTCAAACTGTGCGGGTCTTTCAAGCGTTTCCTTTTCGAGTGTCTGATCTCTGCCGGATTCCATTCAAGTCATGCAAGACTCCTCTTGTGAATTGAAATCGAATGTCTCGGCTACTGTTTCGCCTTTGCTGACAACCCTCGTCTCGCGTCCGTTTTCCCATTCGCATGAAATTTATCTCTAAACAAGGCATACATTCTGCCGTGAATGTCTAGATTTGCGATTTCTCATCCGCGAAGCAAAAATATTGCGCGAAATCAAAAGCGTTTGCCGATACGATCTTTCCTGCCTCTTCGCTCAGCAAAGAGAAATGATATTTCTGACAGGAGAAGCATTTCTGTGTATTTCGCATCATCGTTTTATCTATGCTGTTGCTCTGATTTTGAAAACATAGCCGCGCATACATGTATGAATAAGATATATTTTAATTTTATTCATTTCATTAAATATTTAGGTGCACCATGTATTGCATCTGTGACGAATACTTTATAATGCATTTCGCATCAAATATTTGATGCGAAATGCATTATATTCTTTCTTTAATAAATGAATCTTCAAATAAAATTCTGGAAAAGCGATATCCGCTCGAATCCAAGTAAAAGTATCTGTGCATTAAAAGCTATAATTGTATAGAACTCAAAATAATTAATTTCCTTCATAACTTATGTATATGTCTATTGCCTAGATATTTTAACTGATTTTAAGTGGGACAAATTATTTTAGAGATTTTTATTGGAGCATTATGTGTATCGGGTAAACCTCTCGGAAATGTACGTTCACGTACGCGGCGCATAACAAGTCGCGTCGGCAACGAATAACAAGCTCATTCGCCCCTTCATCTCCTTGCTCATAATCACCGCTCGTTAACCGCGCGAGAAAACGCCGTGGCAACTCAACCGAATTCCACGGGGTCCTGATTGCGGGCGCTCGTTTTTCCGATTGCCAGTCGTTGCCCGCAACCAATTTCTGTCCGGCGCGCGCGAAAGCTCCGTAGCAGCCTGATTCGGGGAGAGAAACGACTTCCGGCTAGCTCGCCACCAGTCGAAACCTCATTACCTCCCAAAGATTGCACGCCCTTTCTCTAAGGGGGATGAGGGAGAGGGATTGGATAAATAAAAGCGCTTTACGTGCCTTTCGCGCGCGGAGACACGACGGCCACTTCAGCGTGTTTCCCTTTGTCTCCGGATTATGCAAACGCGACTCCCCGTAGCAAGTCGATGCAGCAGGGCGCGCCGCTCGCTTGACTGGGGGGGCCTCTCGCAATTTTGTGGAAGAGCTGCTCTTTGAAGTAGATGTAAACGTGAATGTCCTTTTTAGGATGGCGCGCACGAAAAGGGTTCCGCTCGGAAAATGTTTTTCCTGCCGCCCTTATTGTAGATTTCGCACGATTCTATTCCGTTGCACTCGGAGGAATTTTGTTGATTGACCTAGAAATACGGGAAATCTCTGGGTTATCTCGAGAAAGATATCGGACGTACGTTCCTCGTCCTGAAGCGCGTTTCACGAGAACGGACTTGACTCCGCGATATTTAACAGTTCGCGAAAATTTTACCCGCGCGCTCGTAAATCTCGTGGAACTCTCTTCGTACGTCGCAACCGTTAGCGTTATTTCGTGGATATTACGCCGCGATCTGTATATAAGAAGGTAAAGCGCCTTTTACAGAAGTTCGGCTCTTTACTTTTCCCCGCTTTGATCGAGCCCGAGGCAATTTTGCCGGCGTATAAGAAGAACGTGGTTGAATAAAGCTGGCCTACTTCTCGTCAACCGCGGCCAATGAAATATATAATCTCCTCTCGTGTCATAATGCAAGGGATGAAACTGGTACTTTTCTGTTCTCTACCGGGATTCTTTGTTACCGCTATCGCCATCCTTCATTTGATCCATTAACGATAAAATTTTCTTTTTTCGCTCGCGAAGTGTACGATGAGCGTCGTGTATAC